ATATATTAGCTCTTATGGCCGACTCTCATGGCCGTCAGTTAAAACGTCACCAGCATACGAATGCACTATATATAACACTAATACAGTTCACAAAAATCGAATATTTTTGGCGCATGCGATTCTTCTCCATTTCAGGAATTTTCCTGGATATGAGCGAACGGATTCGTTCGATTTTTACTGTGCTTAGCCATGGCTTCTTCGGCAGCTCACTTGCAGATCGACGGGATGCAGAGGAAGGAGGTCCAAGTAGCAATGGCGAAGGCCGTGGAGCTGAGGGCTATTCATGCTGCTCTGCTGCAAGGAAGCGGGAGTAGCCCGGCGGCGATGAGGGTTCCCGCCGGCTCTTCGCCTCTTTCCAGATTATCGAACAACGCAGCTGATGACTATCCTGTGTTTACTCCGGTGAGCTTTCCTTCTTTCTTTTCCCCTTTTTAGTCCTTACTTCCTCCTCACGAATTTCTGGGTTCCCGAATGTTTGATTAGGATGTATTTATGAGATTTTTTGGAATCGGTGAAATGTTGTGTTGGAGAGGATATTTTGTTTGGCATTTTTTATTTTTCAAATCCCTGCTGCGATTTCGGGATTTGGAAATGCATTCTGTGTTCTGCTGAAGGATTGAGTGTGGTAGGGTTTGCTTGTTGATTGAGGTGATTCAGATCCAGTTGACGAGCTTCTGATATGGCCGGCGAGCTTTTGATATCTTTAATGAGCATTTCTTGGAGGCTGTCTTCTTTTGTTTTGGGTCTGGTGGATAATGGATTTAGGATTTAGAGCAATTTTGAGTTTTAGTTATGTATTTTTGACGATTCACTTCTCAACACGTTTTGGTTTAGAAATTTGATTGGATGTCAGACCAAGCAATGTGGGACATTCAACATAGTATGAGCTGTGGGAAAATTTTTCTTAAGAAAATGCAGATTGATGTAGGAAAAACAATGCAATATACAAGCAATCACTTTACTTTTCCTAGTTTAGGGGTTAGACATGTAGTTCTAAAGGAATTGGTTGGTATGTATGTAAATGCCCCTTATTCTTTTTCCTTTCTTTAGTTTTTTTGTTGTCAAGGCATATTTATTTTTGAATTGAGTTTCCTCTTTGGTAATTTAAAGTATAAGCATTTCCAAATGTATATGTAAAATAACTTCTTGAAATTTCTTACCAAATATATTTGTTTTCAAATATATTTTTTCCTTAATATATTTGCTATCAAATATATGTGATATTCTTTTATCAAATATATTTGTCTCCCAGTACATTTCTTGATTTCAAATATGTTTTTGCTTAATATATTTGATACTAAATATATTTCTTACCAAATATATTCATTTTGTGACTCTATAAATACCCATGGTATGTTATGAGTTAAGAGCGAGTGAGAAATTAAGCTAAATACTAAGAGATTTTGTATTTGACTTTATTGTTGGCCACTTTATTTTTTTAGTGAAGTTATTGCGTTGGCTCTCCCATAGTTTTTTCTCATTTTCTGATTTTGCCACGTAAATCATGTTCCTTTTAGTTGTATGAGTGAACTTACTTGATGACGATTAGTGTTGTTTCGTCATAAGAGGTATCAGTGTAGCTGGTTTCCTTTTTCACTTATGTCACAATCATCACTTTTAAGTTCGTTTGTGAATCCATCGTAGTATGATCTCTTTTTTCTCGTTGATGCCCACAATGAAGTACATCATTGAGAAGATAGAATTGTCTACTAGTTTTGTTTTGTGGAAAATCAAATGAGTGATGTATTGGTTCAGTAAGATATCGAAGACACCTTGCTCGACATTAAACAAATGTCGGAAAATTTATTAGCTGAAGAGAATATTCAAATTTAAAAGAAGTTAAGAGCTTAGATTCACCTACATCTATCAAATGAGATCCTTCAGGACTATTGAGAACACAACCACTGATCTATGACAGAAACCAGAGTCTATGTATTGGTATGACTTTCACAACAAAGTTGTACTTAAAGCAAAAATTATAATCTCACTACATGGTAGAAGGGTGGGATATGAAGACTCATCTCACTGAGTTCAAGAATTACATCACTGACCTTTATAATAGTACAACTATTGAAGTACAGCAATAAGAACATGGCTTTGTTATTGTTATTGTTTCTTTCACCTTTATAATAGAATTTTTGTGACTCCATGTTATATGAAAGGGGGTCAATTTGTCTAGTAGTTGTCAGCTAAGCTTCGCTATCCAGAGAATCATTTGAGAAGAATCAGTCATTTACATTCATTAATAGTGAAGATTGCTTGCTCACCAGATGAAGATCTGAAAAGAAATCAATTAGTCAAAGTCTTTTGTAAGATCAAAGTCTAAAGGGAATGATATTGTTTACTTTTATTACAAAAGAAAGAAGCACTGCAAAGTTGATTACCCAAAATTGAAATATAAAGGATCTTCAAAGAATTGTGATCATAGCAAAGCCAAAACAACAAAATATCGTAGCAGAATATGATGAAAACAACATCTTCCTAATTTCTAAGGACCAACTGAGGTCTTCATCTAAAGATATTGAACTTCAATTGCACATGTCACATTAAACCTAATAGGGAGTATTTCTCCATCTATCTGTCTATTGAAGGTGGAGTTGTGTTGATGGAGAATGATTCTTCATGTCCTATAATTGACATGGTCTTACAATTGTATTATTAGGACACTGACTAAGGTGAGGCATATTCCAAGCTAAGGAAAAGTTTGATCTCTCTCAATACTTTGATGATAAGCTTTTACGGCACAATGGTGAAGTTGGAGCCATGATGGTTTTTAAATGAGCACTCGTGGTGATAGGAGGTCGAAATATCCGAGGAAATATCTACGCTTTGGAAGGTTTCATCATTGAAGTTTCAACAATTGTTTGAACTGCTATGTCTAACACTGATGTCACTAAGTTGTGGCACTTGAGGTTAGGTCATATAGGTGAAAAAAGCCTTCAACTGCTATGCAAGCGAAACATGCTCTGTTGTCAGCACACTGGTGCTTCAGAATTCTGCTAGTAGTTTTTTTTGGAAAAGTAAAAAGGGTCTCATTCATTAGCGTGGTCCACAAAATCAAATGACTACTTGATTATATCCACTCTGATCTAGTGAGACAATTAAGAGCCATCCCGTGGTAGTGTAAAATACTTGTTGACCCTTATTGATGATTACTCTAGATATGTTTGGTTATTCTTTATAAGAAAAAAGAATTTGTTGTATTTGGAGGCTTCAAGCAGTTGAAGATTATGATCAAAACGCAGACTAGGAGAGAAATTAGTTTTCTTTGGATAGATAATGGATTAGAGTTTTGCTCATGTCAATTCGATAATTTTTTTCATTCAGACGACATCGTAGGCCACCTCACGTGCTATGATGCCAGAACAAAATATTGTTGCCGAGAGGTACAATCATATCATTCTAGAAATAATACATTGCATGTTTGTTTCATCCATTTTGAATTAAGGGTGTTTGAGTTGAAGCTATCTTTACTGCTTGCTCTTGATGAAGCAATCTTCTCATGTTGCTATCGATTTGAAGTGTCCTCTTGATTATTCTAACTTGAAGACTTTTTACTATCCTACTTATGCCTATGTCCTGGATGGAAATTTGGATCCCCAATAAAAAAAAAAATGTATACTCTTGGGATATGACATACAAAATGGCATAAATGGTTACAAATTATGGTAGATTCTAGAATCTTCATAAGTAGATATGTTGTGTTTGATGAAATGACTCTACTACATTTAGTGACATACACCATCTAGCCGTGATAGAGATGTGCCAGCTATATCAAAAAGCACTCAGATTGAGATGGAGCACTTTATTTCTACAAATTTTCTCTGTAGACTAGTGTTGATGAAGAAAATTCTACTTTTGTACTTTCTTGTTCCTTGGTTAGTGATAGAAAGAGAAGGGTGATTTGCCTGCCTAAGTGATATAGTGAGGCAAATCTTGTTGCACGTGCATTAACTATTGCAGAAGAGATTCTTGTAGTCATACTCTTATGATGATGTAGTCTCCAATTTGGACACTATAAAGCGTCTCGTAGTTGTGATAGAGGAGATAGAGTCATTACTACATAAAACCAAACTTGGGCACTCACAGAACTTCTAAAGGGAAATAAGGCCATTCGATGCAAGTGGGTATACAAGAAAAAAAGTGAGACTTTAGATGATAATCAACTAAGTTCAAGAATTGCTTGGACTTGATTGGTGTTCGATGCAGATGAGCCCAAAGGGCTTTAGAGAGCGGAATGTAAGGAGGGGTTTCACTTTTGGCATAATTTCGAGGCAAGGTGGAGTTTTTGGAAATTAGTGCCTTGAAATTTTTTATCAAATATAATTGTTTCTAAATATATTTGCTATAAAATATATGTGATATTTTACACCAAATATGTTTGTTGTTTAATATATTTGATACGAAATATATATATGATATTTCCTATCAAATATACTTGTTTTCAATTATATTTCTTGCTTAATACATTTGTTACCAAATATATTTCCTGCCAATTTTATTCTTTTTGTAACTCTATAAATACCCATTATATGTCATAGATTTAGAGTGGATGAAAAATTTAGCAATAAACTAAGAGGTTTTGTATTCGATTTAATCATTGATCAGTTTTTTTTTTTTTTTTGGTAGTAAAGTTATTGTTCTGGCTCTCCATGGTTTCTTCCCATTGTTGAGTTTTTTCATGTAAATCTTGTGTTCCTTGTGGTTGTTATTGATCTTAGTTGACAACGATTGGTGTTATTTTACTAACGGTATGGATTCAAAGATAATTATAGTTTGATTATGATTGGACGGCTTTTATTTTTTTGCTTTTATGGTATGTTTGTTCATTAAGCACTATAAAAACATTTTCCTAGATTAGCAATAATTAAAATTTAAACATTTTGGTTTACTCAACTAACCATGAAAATTTCTATGATGGTTAGATGTAAGAGACAAAAACAAAAATTTTAATGAATACTAATACAAGTAAAATTACAGAAATTATGATATAATGCATTACCTTCAAGAAAAGAAAAATTAAAATTACCATGCGATTATAATTGTGATATTTTATCTTTAAACTTTTTCACTTACTAATTTTCTCCATAGCCCTAGTAGTTCAAAATAATAATATGAGAAACTTACATATATACCACATAATTCTTATGTATTTACATGTCTAACAACTAGATCTTCATTTTTCCATTTATGACGTTTTGATGTCTTTAACCTATGCATGAAAAGGTGCATTTCACTTGTAAAAAAGACTAGTAATAGTGATATTTTTGAAGTGATATTAAAGATTTTAGTGCTATGTATGTAAATATGAAAGTTAGGTGTTAGATTTATAAATATATAAAAATTAAGTGGTATGTATGTAAATACCCCTAATAATAATAGCAATAATGATGATGATGATGACCATTAAAATAAGGCCATGTTTGTAGCCATATGACAGCTTATGGTTAATTTCAATTTTAATAGCTATTGACATCAAAAGCTGCTCAAACTTAGTGCTCTTCTTCAATTTGCATATTCGGTTCAAATACCTCATATCATATTAAAAGGCCTTATATCTCATAAGATCTTATGGTTGATTAAAATTATTTTATTTTGGTTAAATGATCTTATATTTGAATAAGAAATCTTATAGATAATAACATCTTATCTTTTGGGGAACGACCTTAGGATAAATGCTTATATCTTAACCGAAGTCCTTATATATGAGTGAAACAGCTTATATTAAATAAAATATCTTATATCTATTAAAATTTTGTATGTTGGTCAAACATCTTATATATGAAAAAATATTATATTTGCACAAATTTTATATATTAATTACTGCTACTTGAGACTGCTGAATCATGGCATCAAAATTTTGATGAAAAAGAGGAAATCTCTTATTTGCATTTGGGTGCTTCTTTAGATCCAATACTATTAGCTAGACTGAAATATGTGGCGTTGTTGTCATAATTCTACAGTTTCGGCTTGGTATTTTGTATTTGACTGTAATGTGGGGCTTGCAGTAGATGAGCCTATTCCGATGATCCAATTTTTATCGTTTACTTTAGATTAATTTTTTCTTTGAAAAGTGGATACTCGACGTTCCAACATGTTTTCATCACTCCAAACTAATTAAATCTTTCCCCTTCAACTAATTTCTTTGAGTGCAATATACTAAATTGCTAAAAATGTCCAGCTGGTTCAACCTACTGTGCATACGGTCTGACAAGGATATAAAGCATGTGATTTGATGGAGTGGGTACATCACAATTTATCATCTAGGTATTGATGGTTGCAGCTTATAAAATACTGCCGTCGCTACCTAATACTATTTGGATTCAGTTTTCTTTTCCTGTTAGTGGGATTTAAATACAATATTAGTTCTTTTTTCTCCATGTCTAGATAATTCAAAGCTGTTGCATTGGACTCAGATTATTGCTAAAATTTTGCTTAGTCAAACATTATAAAAGATTATGATTTAAAGATCATTAATTATATAGACCATAAGATAGATGCTGAATCAACTTAACCAATGAGATAGCTATATCTTTATGTCTGATGCGTCATCCAGAAATTTTATTATTTGACACGAATCTCGAGGTATTTTTTAATCAAAATATATTCTGATTAAAATCAAAGATAATTTGAAGCTCCGATTTCAGTAATTTTAAGTCAAACTGGCCGTCTCGACAAGATGAACGTAATGATATCAAAGACTGATCGAGCCCGAATCAAGCCATTAAACCACATTTGAAGCTTTTGGGTAGTTAATTGGAGCATCAAATTAACTCCAAATTTAACATGCCTATAATCAAATCGATCGTTTTGATGATAAGAACCTAACGAGCCCGGCCAAGATTACCCAATTTTGAGGACATTTTTACCTTTAAATCATCAAAATATCTCATATGATCAAGGGGAATTAACATGGGTCATTCAATCGGGTGGTTACTGGTGTTATTCGTCAAATGATCAAAGTGCCTCTCCCTCGGGGGCAATAAATCGACCTCTTTTCTTTATTCGGGATGGGGAGTCAAATTCCAATTTTATTATCGACCGAAGACCCGACAATAGTTTTATGTTTTTGTAGCCCTCGACCACCATCTGTCGGCCACCGTCGACCACTGTCGACCTCCTCCTGCTTGCCGCTGTTTGTTTTTGACGATGTATCCTAAATATCGTGTAACGAAATATCCTGAATACAGTATAACGAAGTATCCTGAATACGGCGAAACAAAGTACCCGAATAATGTGCAATGACATATCCTACATATTATTTATTGAATACCCGGTAATAACTCCTGGCGGCAATTGCTTACGACTGTTATGATCAGAATACGGTGGTTTTCTTCTGGCCCGTGTCTTTTTTTGTATATTATGTACGGACACGTATTATACTCGGTGTAACATTGTAACTCTTCTTTCCCAGTTATGGAATAATAATCTATATCTGTATTTATGAACTTATAGTGGATTACTTGATTGGGCTGGGTCTTGTGGTTTTTTCTTTTTCAGAATTTTTTTTCACGTAAAAAATATTGATGTCTTCTCCTATAACTTTTTTATTTATTTGTGTGTGTGTTGGGTCTTCGTGCACATTAAGATATTAAATTACCACTCTACCACTGCAAATCTTTTGACACGTAAAAATATCTAAAGTCTATGCTATAACTACCATTTAATCATTAAAAACTCAAAATGAGTATAATGGGCTAAAAAACTGATGGGTTAGAGTAAAAATCTATGAATAGGTGGAAACAACTTAATTAACGTTTCATGACTCTATCATTCTAAGTTATCAAGCTCAAAATTACTTAATCATGAAGGTTGTCACCCCAAAATTTTGGTAAATGCCTTTATTCATAGAACAGTTGGTCAAATTCTCAACCAAAAAGTACTTCTCTTTCTTTCTGTCATTTTCCCTCAAAATGATGACTTTGAGACTACATTTAATTTTTTCTGAGCGTGATTTTATTTAAGATTCTGATCTATGATGGTTAGAGACAGACTTACGAAGATAAGCCGTTGCCTGGGTATCAGTTTATCCGCCCTGATCGAAGTCTTTCAGAATGCTGGAGTGAAATTAGGCTGGAAGGAGAACCCAGAGATAATGAGAACGTTCTGTCTGACACAAATTCTGTGAAAAATAAGTTTTCTTCTCTGAAAGATGATCAGCTGGCGTTTTTAACAAATGAACATTTATCCAACAAATCTTTTTGCATAAACCACCAAAATCCTATCATGCAAACTGCTCCAGAAGTTGATGTCTACAAGTCTTTAAGTAGGAGAAGTGCCATAGGAGAACTAAAATCAGTGACATTTAACACCACAAGCAACCTTGCAACAATCAGTATGGAGGTTGATGCTGAGCAGAACAACCTCAAGAGTGTTAATAACGTAACTCCTTCAGTCGATACTCGTACTCCACTTCCGCCTCAATCAAAGAGCAGAGGAACTACCTTTTCATGGTTGTTTCATAAAACAAAGAAGAAAAACAAACTAGAAATGTCTCCAAATGCAAATGAATCAGAAAACATGCGCCAGATTTTAACGGATTGGGGAACATTCTCACTTGAAACATTGAAAAGGGAGTTGTTTGAGGCCAATGAACGAAAAGATGCAGCATTGGCTGAAGTCGCAAAGACGAGGGCTTCTCTTGGTGAGCTTCAGCAAAAGCTAGAAACTTTAGAGTCCTACTGTGAAGAGCTGAGGAGGTCTCTGAAGCAGGCAGTTCATGAACAAGGTAAGCAAGTTCTCAATACATTAAAGAGAACTAAGCCAATTAATATTAACCACAGCTGTAATGAAAACTCCATGCCTGTTAGCCATGAAGTAATGGTAGAGGGCTTCCTGCAGGTAGTTTCTGAAGCAAGACTCTCCGTCAAGCACTTCTGCAAGGCTCTCATTGACAATATCGATAAAACTGATAGCAGTTTACTGGAAAAATTAAGCATGCTTGTGCATCCAAATCCATTAACTTTGGACAAAAAGTACCCAAAAGCTGATCTGTATCATTTACAAGCTCTCATAAATCAGTCACTGCACCAAGATTTTGAGAACTGTGTGTTCCAGAAAAATGGGTCACCAAAGCTTCTTGACCCTCATCAAGATTGCTTGGAGAACTTCTCATCTTTCGTCTCGCTTCGGAATTTGAGCTGGAATGAAGTTTTGAGGAAAGGGACTAAGTATTACAGCGATGATTTTAGCTACTTCTGTGATCAGAAGATGAGCAGCATTGTTTCTATATTGAATTGGTCGAGGCCATGGCCCGAACTGCTGCTGCAGTCATTTTTCATCGCTGCCAAATGCATGTGGCTGCTTCATTTACTCGCATTCTCCTTTAACCCCCCTTTGTTGATTTTGAGGGTTGGTGAGAACCGAAGTTTTGATCCACTGTACATGGAAGATGTTCTTAAAGGCAGGCAACAACGGACACATTCTTTAGTGCAAGTAAAAATCATGGTGATGCCAGGATTTTATGTGCATGATAAGGTTTTGAAGTGCAGGGTCTTGTGTAGCTATGGGTAACTTTTAACAAATTATTCTTCTGATTCTGGTAATGCATTTCATATTGTTTGTATATTTATCCTTTCTCTTATCATATTCTGCCAAGGGTGAGAAGTTATCAATTTTCTAATTGTTTTCTTTGTTTAACTTAGTAAGCTTTTGTGTTTCTACTGGATTGAATATATTCTTCTTAGTAGATCAGGCTTTTTGCTATTCAATACATAATCTCTCTACTTTCCAAAACATGCTCCTAAAAGCATTTGGATTATGGATGTATGATTTTAATTGAAATGAAGAATGCTAACCCTAGCTGCCACTTAATTGATATTGGAACTTTGTTACTATTATTAGTCATATCTTTAAACTGTTATTGTTGTTGTTACAATTCTTCTTATTATCATTGTCACAATTACTACTACTTGAGAGTTTGAGCTTCATTTTAGTCATTATAACTAGTTAATGCATGTGCTTTTAAAAGCAAGTTGTTCTGAAGATTATAGATATACTTCAAAAAAATTGCAAAAATAAAAGAACTTCCAAAATATGTTACTTTTAAAATAGAGTAACATTTTAAAGGAACACTAATGATATCATTTTCACACTCATACAGGCCAATTGGACCTCTTTAACTACTTTTTCTCAAAAAACTTTAATAAATCATCCATAAATACCATGATCTATTTATCAAATCATAAAATATGAGCATCATGCAAGACTGGAAAGTGGCAGACACATTGTAGAGTCTAAAAAACATTCTCATAAGTGTGAAAGTCTCATATGGCTCATAAATGTAGTCTTCTTCTGATCCTGCAACGCTATGCGAGTTTGATAGTACCCTAAATATCCATCTAAGAAACAAAAAAATGGGTGGCCAGCTAATCTATCTAGCATTTGATATAGGAAGGGAAGGGGGAAATGGTCTTTCCTAGTGGTGTGTTTAATTTCATATAATCAATACAAGTGTGTCACCGTATGACATGGCTTGTTGATATTAATTCATCATGCTCGTTCTCCACAATAATCACCCCTCTTTTGGGTACACAATGGATATGACTAACCTTGATATTATCTGAAATGGAGTAGATAATGTCTGCATCAAGCCACCTCACAATCTCTTTCTTAACAATTTTTTTCATTAAAGAGATAAGTCTTCTTTGAGGGTCAACCTTGGGTTTGTGGTCCTCCTCCATAAGGATCTTATGAATACACAAGGAAGGATTAATCCCATTTATGTTCGTTATCATCCAACCAAAGACTTTCCTAAAAGTTCTCAGAACTTGCATCAACTTTTCTTCCTGCAACTTACTGAGTTCTGAAGAAATAATCACAGGTAAGATGGATGGATCTCTTAAATAAGCATATTTCAAGTGTTTGCGTTTAGGGGCCTCTTCTATGGATGACACTAGAGCTTGGAATAACTAGTAGTGTCCAAAAGTTCAAATCTATCCTTGCTAGCCTCCAAAAGAGAGCTGATTCATCTTTAGAGTATTTCCTATCATCCTTAATCAAACTTTGCTTTGCATGGTCAGCTTCATAAGTCTCCTAAAAGTGGCTTCAAATTAGCCCATCCACTAGATCTAACCTACAAAAAGATTTTTTTTCTCGGATCAAAAGAATATTTAATAGACTTTAAAATATTAAAGGCCACCTCCTGATCATTTACTTTCATAGTTTTCTCCCCCTTTTGAACATCTATCATAGCCTTACCAGTTGCTAGGAAAAGCCTACCTATAATGATTGGGATCTCTTCATCATCCTCCACATCTAATATAATAAAGTTCACTGGAAGTTAAACTTATCCACCTTCAGCAAGACATCCTCTATAGCCCCCTAGAATAAGTAAGTGAACGACCAACCAACTGAAGGGTCACAGTGATGGGATGGACTTCTCTTAATCCTATTCTCTTAAAGATAGACAATGACATAAGATTAATACTATAGGGTCTGAAAAATTTCTCTCATATGGCACAAGGGATGGTAAAACAACAAGAGTCCTTAAGTTTTTGAGGAAGCTTCTTGTGGATAATAACAATACACTCTTCACTAAGTGCTACAGTCTCAAAATCTCATAGGTTTCATTTCTTATTTAAAATGTCCTTCATGAATTTCACGTAGCTTAGCATTTGCTTTGAAGCATCAGGAAATGAAATATTAATCGTAATCTTCTTAAACGCTTGTAAAATTCTGAAGATTTGTTGATCCAATTTGTATTTTTGAAACCTTTGAGGAAATGGTAGAGGTGATCACTCTATGTTCATCCTGGGAGGTGATTTTAATCTTCCTAAGTTCTAAGAAGGATTTTCACTAGGTCTTTCGAGCTCAAGATTGAGTTCTTCAACTACGGGCACTAGGTCTTTTAAGCTCGGGATTGAATTCTTCACCTGCTCATTTGTTTTATCCTTGGGGTTAACTTCGGTGTTTCTAGGAAGGATTCCATGAGGCTTATTACTTAAATAATTTGTTATCTAACCTAATTGGTTCTCTATGTTCCTAATAGTTGCAGCTTAACTTTGCAGTTTATTCCCCATCTGCATCACTATTTCTTCTAATGTTAGCTTCTTATCATTAAACGGAGGGTTTGAGTTAAATCTAGGAGGGTAAGTCTGTCTTGGGTTGTCACTACCCTGATTATTCCAATTTTCTTTATGATTGACTTGACTATTTCTCCATTGTTGTGTTCCTCCACATGGATTATTATTGTTCCAGATAAAGTTTGAGTGATTTTACAACGAGGGTTATAGGTATTGCAGTGAAGTTTATTAAATCTATTATTAATGACATTCCTGGTTTCAATGGGTGATGCTCTAGGATCAACGAGTTGTCTATATTCTCTTCTAAAACTGAGGATCCTCGTGTCAGATTCAATCCTATTTGGTCTAATTTCCTAAATATAGCTGCTACTTGTGAGGTCAAAATTATTAAACCATCTATGTCATGAACACTGACTACCTTTTTAAGGCTCTCTCTATCTGAGGGCCATTGAAAATTATACATCTCCTCAATCATAAGGTTTAGACATAAGGGAACCTTCTGCTGCGACACCTACAATCGACCTAAGAGATCCTACCAAACCATTATAAAATATTTGAATAATCAACCAGTCTGGTATTGCATCGTGGGGATACTTCCTAAGGAGCTCCTTAAACATTTCTCAAGCTTCATATATTGATTCTCCATCAAACTAGCTAAATGAGTCAATATCATCATGAGTTTGGTTGTTTTAGATTGTCGAAAATACTACGCTAAAAATCTTTGGGCTAGTTCATTTCAACCGGTGATAGACCTAGGAGCTAGGGAATTAAGCCACATTTTAACCTTATTCCTTAGGGATAAAGGGAAAAGGCCTTAGCCTAGCAGCGTCGTTGGAGACACCATTATAGTGAAATATGACACACAGTTCTAAAAATTTTGCTAAGTATAAATTAGGGTCTTCTAATGGTGTTCTCTTAAACTGATTATTTTATATCATCTAAATGATGACAATTTTTAATTCAAAAGAGTTAACTTCTATGGAAGGAGTATTGATACTTGGTAGATTTTATCTACCGTAGGGTTTGTAAATTCCCTAAAAGGTTTAGGCATGTCGGGTCTATAGGCACTGGGTTCCTCGCAAGGAATGTGTCGCATCTCTCCCATTTCTCTTTAGAGTCTTTTTAGTTTTCTGATTTTTTTAACACTTCTTTCTAACCCAATGTCATAAAGTTCGAGGTTCGAATATTCAGAACTATACATACGGCAACTAAGTTAAACACTAGGTGAGAGTCTTTTTAGTTTTCTGATTTTTTTAACACTCCTTTCTAACCCAATGTCATAAAGTTCGAGGTTCGAATATTCAGAACTGTACATATGACAACTAAGTTAAACACTATGTGACCCTATGCTAAAAGTAAATCCACACAGTTCAAATGAAAGTACACTATAACAAAATAAGCACTAAACAACTTAAATTCACAATCAAACAACCAACAAGCAATAGAAATATTGCATTAAGTAAAAAGCAGGATACAAGTGCACAAATTTATAGGAAACTAACAGGATATTTTTGGATTTTTATTGTAGAAGAAACAATAAACAATAAACTAAATAAGTTATAGATTAACACAACGGTTTTCAAATCTAGATCTTATAAGTTCAACTAAAATTTTCCTAACTTAACATGCTCCAAATGTGGTGAAGCACTTGAGAACCACACAGGTATATGTGGTGTATCAGTAGTATACGTAATTGAGTTCCATTTTTCGATCCCTCGGGGAACGAGATAAATCAAAATTTAAAATAATTTAGAGTAAAAATATTGTTCCTAGCATGAACTATTGAAGCTCTTAAAGTTCAATAAAGTTTCTACCATAAATCTATTTAGAAAATAGGTCTGCCTTAGCAAGTAAAAGAAATTCTTAAGAGATTCAAGACTTGAGAGATTTCTCCCTTGAATTGGTCTAGTGGTGATTATAATTGTGGAAATACTCAAAGCCCAAAGTCAATCAAGAACAAATTATTTTTTATTCCCTTCTGAAAGTTTAAGAAAGAGTGGTTGTGATGAGTGTAGTTCCCTAAATCTCATGATTGGACCAAGCAAATAATATCTCCCCATAAGATTGCATGAACTCAAAGACAATGTCCTTATTCCAATGAGTTTATGTGGTTAAACTTTTCATTCCACTAAGTTTCCTTCTAGATCTCAGAGTTCACGAATGGCTATAACTATTCTATTGACTATGCAGAATTTAAATTAAGTTTAAATGTTAGCACAACACAATTAAGAAAGTTCAAGTGCAAATCATAAAGAAAAACTCAATTCTATCCTACCACATTTCCAATTCAAGGAAGAAACAAATGAATTACTCACTGCCCATTGCCAAACTCAACAAAACAAACTTTGATTTAAATAAAAAAAATCATACACAAAATATTTCACATAAATCCTAGTAAGAAGTCAACTGAAGTGTACTTATCTTCTTCCCTATCGAAACAGAAGTGTTGAAATGAAAACAAGCAATGTTTACAACCTTTGAACCTCTCAACTCTCCTTTCTCCTCTCAAAAATACTTCGATGGGCTGGATCTAAACTTGTTACATAATGACATGTGAGCATTCAAAGCATCTACAGTTTTTTCATTTTTCCTTCTTCCAT